AAAATACTTTTGAAGGTTTATCAAGAAGCATATTTAAAGGGGTTGGTCAATGAACAATCCTCTTCTTTCTAATTTGCCTTACACCATACAACATTACTTAGGAAATAAAAAAAAATAGCGCAATTAATTTCTGCCCAGTGTTTAAACAAGGGAAACCTGATTGGTTACTGACTGTGCACCCTCCTAGGGCAGTAAGTATAAGGTATACACAAACCGCATGTGAGGTGATCTAAGGATTGCTTGGTGTCAGAAAAAAATATATTCTACCAAACACTCTCATTTAAATGTTAGCGGAATAACCACCGGTTACTCTCATGCTTACTCGCGCTTTAAAGAGCGTACTAATACGGCCACCAGATGCATGTGCGTTGTTTAAACAGGGCAACGTCCTCCAGCCGAAAAACGGAAAGGAAAGCCTCGTGGCATGGTAAGAGACAGTGAATAATATTACATTTTTCTGATGCGGAAATAACAAATGCGCTGCGTGAAATTTACGACAGAATGCATTTAATGAACAACTTTTGAGAGAGAAATGTGAAGGCAGAAGGCGCGGAAGCAAGAACAGGGATGCTGCAGAATTATCCTGAGGGTTCAAGACAGCATTTGCAGCATACTTAAACTCGACACTTAGACATTGAGAGGGTTTTATACGGACCCGAATCGACGCGAGAGCGGCTGAATTAAAAGTCAGCATTCCTGTGCCTTGGGGTTTGGATCGGGTCAGGGTATGATGACATGGATTTGATAATGTCGTCTATTTCTTCCTCTTTCAGACCTCCCTCAGAGCGTTTCAGCCAACAGCGACCTTCCCGGAAAGCAACGTGGCCCACCTGGCGGGCAAGTGCATAGGAGACGCAGCGAATCTTCTTCAAAGGTGGGTAGAGGGAGCCGAGACAAAGATCCTCGTCCGACACATTCTCTGAGACTGTCTGAAGCAGCGAATAGAGGGAGCATTACAACATCATATCCAGACCCCATTGCCTTAAGAGGCACAAGAAATCATGCTTGTTACTGCTTCAATCTTTTGCCTAGGAATTAATTGCAGATGGCCTCACCGTGGAACACCGGAGCTGGAACTCTATTGTTAGACGTCCGACATGGTCGGTCATATCTACAACGTGGGAATAGAAGCCAAAGCCTTCCTCATTTCAAACACTTAAGTGTCACAACTTTGTACAGTCGACTTAACAGATAATATATGACAAAGACTGCCTTCTGTTTCGAAAAGGTTAATAAGATTTTTCTCTATAATGCAAGTCAATCAAGAATGACCTCGCACAAGGTGTAAAGGCAAGCCTAACAATGCTTATTGTTTGAAAAATGGGTAGGTTGACTGCTTGAAAAGAAAAAGCAAGGACTCAGCCTACAGTTAAGTAGAGTGCAGTAGTATGCATGAGGAACACTTGTCCTGGTATCCCTTGTCTTCTTAAGCATACTTCTATCTGTTAATACTTGATTAAATGCACCTTCGCTCAATGAGAAGGAGCGTGTTTGTGACCACTATCATAAACGTCCGGGCATATCTATTCTAAGGCATAAAACGTGTAGTTTGCTTCCATCCGAGTGAAAATGTATAATTAGGATAAACGGAACAGGGACAAACCTCTGCAGCCGAAATAAAGTCCTCATCTGTGACTGGCTGGATACGCAGGGCAGAGATTGCCAGTAGAAGACCAGGGAAGATGTAAGCGTTATTGGCCTGGCCCGGTTTGTGATACGTTGAGGCGTGACGGGGCGCATCATCAGGATCCAAGTTCACCGGTGGGAAAGGACTTCCGCTCGCAAACAGGCACTGACCCTACAGATAACAGGAGAGACGGGTATTTATATCAGAGTAGAGAGGATGAAATTCTTTGCTGGTTTTCTCGAGCGGCCCACGGAGATTCGAATGATTGGACTTCTGGAAATGAATGAGGGATACGAAGATGGTGGGATATATCCGGTATTCCTCAGTATTGGTTGTCATAACCAAGCGTTGGCCTTAGCGGATTGGACTTAGGGGCGTACTATATTCTGTCGGGCGATCAACTAAATACTACGATAATTTTATGAGACCAACCTAAGAACCAGGAACCCAAGATAGATGAATCTATATTGTACCCTGGAGAGTTGTGGGGGGAACCAGAGGCGGTAGATCGTGGACCGGAAAGAAGCAAAGCTTCGTTGGTAAATAAACCGAATAAACAGTCATGATCCACACACTAATAATACCTTCAGGCGAGGGTGAGTACCAGTGCGGTCAGTCGACTACCCGTAAAAAAGTAAAAACGACCGTATTATGACAGCATGGCTAGTAGTGCTCGCCATCCATCAAATTCTTGCAGATCTAAACTATTGGGCTTCATGATTAGATAGAAACCGGTCCCTGGCCAGAGACAGCAAACAAGTGAGCTGTCAGCTACTCGCGTCACAGTTTTCCGGCCAGCATTGTCGCAGAAACGCAGCCAACTTGCACCTTTGTATTTACAACGCAGGTACCCTCCTGGAAAATACTATTACGCACGCAGAGATCGAGCAGGTAAACATTGATCTATGTGCAAGAATGAGATAGCAAACAAGGGAGTACTTCTCATACCAATAAACAAAACGTATTAGAAAGCGTTCGAAACAAGTACGCAACGACCAGGCGTCTCAAATAACCACTGCCTAAAATCCATGGCTTGAACGGTTTTTTGGATAAGCAAAAGGCTACGGCTCATGCACTCTAGTTGCGCAGTTGTATCCAGATGAACAGCTTCTGGCCCCATGAACATAGGAAACTGAAGACTACAATACGTAGTTCAATGAAGCAACAGAAAAGACATTTTGAATTGAAGGTGAAATTAAACATAACAAAAAAATAAAATTAAAATGTGCAGGTGAAAAGCAGCGTACATTAGTAGCTTTGTAGGCTGCATGAGCAGTGCACTCGGCCTTGTGTGTGGGATTACTCAGGGCAAAAATCAACGGTGTCTCACATTGTTTTGCCAGCTGTTTCATCACTTCCGGAGTAAAGGAGTTGGGAACCGCAGAGGCGCCAATGAGGGCAGTGCAGTTGGCGTATTTTATAATCTGACAGTCAGGACCAAAAGACATGAAAAAACGAAGAAAGAGTTAAACGCCATACCGGAAAAGGAACATTAAGTGAATTTACTTCAGCTAAGCTGATAGTAAAGGGTGTCCAAAGTTAACAAACACTAATGAGATCAGACAAAACTATCAGTAGAATTGACTGACAAACAAAAAACAGAACACGCCGGTCAGTGGACGAACCTCCAGCAAGTCGGTCATTTCAGGTGTTCCGGCTGGCCTGGCGAAGGGAGCCTTCTCCGAGCTAATACCGCCAGTGGATCGGTTCTCCACAATAAGGCCACGACTATCCACCATGAAGATACGGCGTTTTGCCTCCTCCTCCGTCAGAGCGCTGCGACTCTTCAGGGTTTCTACCAGGAGGTGAGCGAAACCGAGCATCGACTCGCCAGCGCCGAAGCAGACGATATTTTCCTCCTTTAGTTTCCGTCCTGTCTTCCGACAGGCAGTGAGCAAACCCGCAAGAATAACTGATGCAGTGCCCTGAATGCAAAAAAACGAGATTTGACGCCATGTTCACACAGATACGCAATGATTTAACATAATTTAACAGTATTTGTGTATTTCTGCTTGCATACTGGTGGCTTACAAAGCCTATGTGGTTATATCACAATAGCTTATGAATTCCAGCCTACCTACTGTTCATATCAATCTTCAGCGCCTTAATAGACTTGTTCAAAAGGACCTAGTCTGATTTCACATAGTTATTTCAGAGATTTAAAATCACAATATAACGGTCCGACCATCGTATCCGACGAGGTCTACCGTGTGGCGCAGGGACGGTGAATTGCACGTGAATTTGATTATAATGAGAGTAAACTTGCACTTCATGTTTGCCCTCCTCCACCTGGACTGGTGTCATAGTCAAGTCAAGGAGACCGGAGGATGGAGAGGGCATATGCAGCTAGCGCGACCGGATCCGCCGCGCCTGGCTCCGATCCCACGGAATGGGAGTGACATAGAAGCCAAATTAAGAAAGAACGACTACAGCCTAATTTTTAGTCCGCCAGTCGACCACTCCGCACCACTACATACTGTGCGGATCGCGCGGCCCGAGTCAGTTGGCAGCCTTCCAAGCCACGCCCTTCAGCACACTATGGTAGTTGCAAGCATGTCCGATTAGTTACAGTGAAGCAATTGCGCTGAGCCATCGATCTCACAATGTATTCCCGTTTCCAAGCCACAGGCACCGTTTGAGCCGGTCAGTTGACTGGTGCTGGGAATGGGCGAACTGCTGAGAAACCTAATGACCTCGTCTGTGCATGCCAAATACACAACCTGCCAC